TTTTAATGTTCAATAAATGAATAAAGTAATAAAGTACCTAATCAATGACATTTTATAAATGATAATCATGGCTGAAACTGTTGAAAGCGTAAAGTTAAGAATATAAGGGCCTTATAAACTATTAACTTATAAAAAAATATTTATTTGTAATTTCTATGATGAAGGGGGGGGGGTGTATATGTACTGTCTTGCACCACTAAGTATAATACATTCAAACCGCCTCTGTTTAAAGCTGCACTCAGACCTATATGAAGGTATACCAAACGTGATCTAGTTGACGTCCCTAAGTTATATAACCTAGCATATCTATGTATCGGATTCTTATTCATATTGATATCAATAATAGTATATAATAATAAAAAAAATGTATTAATTAAACAATTAGTTGAAGAGAGTATATACTTTGATTGAGTGAGAGTAGTTTTTATATTTTCATTTTAAAATTAGCTATAAATACTTTGATCATTAATTTTTTCAAATTCTCATCTTGTTTAAAAACTAAAATATGGTCAAAAAACTGTTCTCTTAAACACAGTTCATGTTCTCTATAAATTTTAAACTAAAAAATGTTGTTCTAATATCAGCAATAATTCAAATGTAGTAAGACTCCGAAACATAGATTGGCTATGTAATGGCTGGTATGTAAGACAGAAACTTCATATGAGAATATTTGATTATCTTAAATAGTAATTTTTWCTCAAGTTTCTGGTTTTAGTGCTAAAAGTTAATTAAATAATAACAAAATAACATATAAAAATAATATGTTTTTAAGTAATAAAATAATGATATTGTTGAATATTGAAAATTGAGGTTAATAAGCTCATTGACATAATTTAAAAATCGACAATTATATTAACATTAAACATCATTTGTGCAGATGTGGTCAAAGTGCATGTTCTTTAGATAAAATAATATACATTTTATTTTAAATGAATTTAATTAAATAAACAATATTGGTTATTACGCCACAATTCCTACAAGTGAGTACTTTTCCTTATCTTCCCTCAGAACAGGGGTAATATCATAAATAAATTTAAATCAATGAAAAATTATCAAGTAAAAAAAAAATATTCAAGCTTAATTTGCTGTATTATTTATAATATTCAAACTTGTAAGAAAGAAAGTTTTATGAAAATGAAAAAGTAAAATAATAAATGATTTAGATATTTMATGGAACTTTTGAAACACTTTTATTTTGTACACTAGTATTTTTCTTATATAAATACATAGATACCATTGCAAAACTAATAAACAATATACACTATATACATAAATCAGAATGGGCGCTTGTAAATTGCGCCCTCATTAAGTGGGTAGTAAAAATACTATAGTAAATTGCGCACGGGATTTTTTTGGTTCTAAAACGGGTTAGTAAATTACGTCCATAGTATCTACTATCTTGAATTCTAATTACCTATTATGTGTATTTAAAAAATACTGTTGTTCATTTATTGGTGGATAAGCCAACGTTTATCTCTATAATGGAAGGACAGTGATAGTCGCCTCCTCGTGGTGTCCTCTGGGTAATGCACTAATGCTAAATGACTATCATAAAAATAATACTTCTATTGGGCACAATTTACTATACAGAAATTTGTACCTGAAAAATACCGGGCGCAATTTACTACACAAAAATGTATACCTGAAAAATACCGGGYGCAATTTACAACCATTTCCTTTTGTTGGGTGCAATTTACGTTTGCCCATCAGAATATTACCTTAAAGTACTTATTCTTTGATGTTTTGTCAATTAAAAAAATGAATAATCTGTGTTATTGTTATTTATTAATAATATAA